ATTTAAGAAAGTATAAAAAAATGTAAAAAGAAAGAAACTTGAAGAATATCTCATTCATTTGATGGAACTGGACCTGAATTAAGGCTTCAATAAATTGTCTATTAGGAATTTGCTTTAGTGTGTTAATAGCTTGAAGGATCACCAACTAGTAAATCCGTACTTTATCCTTGATAAATTAGTAAGAAAATTTGTCAAATCCGTTCATAATTCGTATGCTCGTCTTCAAGCTATTGCTACTCTCTTTTGGAAACGTTTTTTTTTTTCTAGCCATAACGAATAACTTCTTCTCTTTTACAAGGTTCGTGATCTTTAGCCTCATGAATCAGGATAATTTGGTAGTATTAAATACGAAGTTATGTTGTGTTAATATGATATGAGCAACTTAATTGTGTTTTAATGTAATTCACAGGTTATTTAAAAAAGCAACTTGATAAATTTATTTTCAACTCTGCCAAAAGTAGATGACAAATTAATGTCTTGATAGTGCTTATTAATTTACCTTAATTATGACATCAGAGTTGTTCATATTTTAATTTTGACATTCTCCATAGATCAAATGGAAACACTATATGGAACTCCTTTTCCAGTGACCCCAGACTCTGAAAATGGTTTCAAAAGCTCATACGGAGAGACCCCAGCCCCAGTTCGATTCTTCAAGCTGAAATCAGCATTCCTACGGTCAATTATAACCTCCAAATTCTTCATCTTCGCACTGAACCTATCAAATGCTGCCTTTATCACAGGATCATCGCCCCATGATGGCTCCATATTCTTGCCAACATACTCCTCATCTGGAGAGTGACTTGACAGAATATTCAACACCATCATTACCTTTGTCGCCTGATACTGCGAAGGGAAGGCATCTAGAAGAAAATGCTCTGGCTTTTCCAAGAAACATTTCCAAAGTGCAGGGTTGGGATCTTCAGTGGGCATGTTGGTTTTTGTTATGCTAGGCCTGTTTGGGAAATAGCCTGCATATGCATATTGCCCGAAGTTCACAGCGGCGTGGTGACCAGATGCTACCCACGCAATGTTTGTTACTATGTCTATTAGATCTTGGGGAGTGTTGAGAGTTGGCCACCCCGCCGCATCTTTTTTGTCTGCATGCCCCACAGTTCTAATCTCAGTCCACCATTCTTGGAGCTCTGCGTCAGATGTTACCATGCTCGAGTCGTGATAGTAATAATTCACATATTCTGTGACCCATTCTTTAAGAGCATCCCACAAAATCAAACCATCATTAGCGAAAGGATAGTCCTTGATGTTCAGTTTCAAACCATGTGAAGCAGTTGGATCCTCCTCTGCCAATCCCCTGCCAAGTATTCATCAAAAGTACTGTGTCAAGTTTTATGTATCAGTCAATTCAAAAGAAGAACAAAAATGGTGAACTCAAGTCACCTGTGAATTAGGTCAGCTGGCAAGGCTTGTAAGTCAAATTGCCATTGAAGATCATAAGCTGTGGAACTCAACTCCATGGAATATTTTTGTGGTGAGAATGTGAATTCTATTGTCCCACCTGCACTGATAAGATTGGTACGAGCAGATGCATTGATCTCTAAAGTGTACCTAAAATGAGGATGTAGAAGCCTATAGATAGGATGCATTGCACTCAATTGTCTGTTTGTGGCTATGCAATAAGGCTCCACGGCGCAGTGAGTTCTTAACCTACAAAACAAAACAGAGGACCAAACTAAAAAAACAATCTTTTTTATTCCTCTAGCAATGATCTTCAAAGTCAAAGTTGAGTGGGATGGGATATATTTACCAATGAGAAACGAGTTGGTGATAACCAGCGTCATGGGCTAGAACATGGGCTTTGGCAAATCTCCAAATCCAAAGGTGAGTGGCCTGCTCGCTGGGTCCATAAACTCTCTTCCACTGCGGTTTGTCGTCCATGGGTGGCCGAGTTAGCTCAATAGCTAGTGGTTTTAGGGTTTCATCTTCGTTTAGAAAGAATAGTGTCCTTGATCCATAAAGCGTTGTTCCTTCAACGGCTCTCACTTTTTGAACATATGGCAACAACATGTCATGGTAATCCAATATATATAGTTTCTTCTTTTGAATTGCCTGCATATCCCATTTATTCATTTGAAAAGATATATTTTATTTCATATGGCATATATGATTGTCGGGACTAGTACTGATACAATTACATACCTCTTGAACAGTGATTGAGCCAATTTTTTGATTGAGCATTTCAATGTTGAATGCAGATTCAGGAGGACCATAGATTTCAGGGTCAAGTTTGCTGACTAGTGGCCATTCCTACCATTAATATTTAAGAATTGAGTATTTAATATGAATTCAATGGTATAAATGAAAAGAAGAGGATTTCATGGCATACCGTGACCAACTGTATGCTACATGGGTTAAGACCCGCAAGAGTTTGCCTTGCGAATTGTTCATCACTTAACCAAAAGAACTTGTCTCCTGATGTAATTAAAGAATAAGAATAAGTCGAGTTAATGAGTAGATGAGAGGGAGTTAGCGAGAGAGATGTGCACTCACGGTCCATAGGTTCAGGAGGATCAAAGCGCAACGAAATTTTTCCTGTAGAGTCGAGTTTGAATATCCAAGGTAAATCATCCTTGAGAGAAGTACTGGATTCAAGAGTGGGAAGTTTGAAGCCGTCCACCGCGTAAAGTGCATCGATATCTTTGAAGTTGGAGAATCCAGCCTTGTCATCAAAATGTACCCACAAGTTTGGCACAATGGTGTGTATGAATGACAACACTGAATCTTTCATGAATGCATCTTGCTTTATATTAGAGAATGCCTCGTCTCGAGGGATGTATATGCTCTCATTTTTTCTCCTTTCTTCCAACTCTGGGGCTACAATAATATTACATAAAAAAACCATGTCTAAAAACTCTACTCATATTCATATATTTTTAATAAATAAATAAAACCCTTCTTAATAAATAAATAAATCTCTAAATCTCAAACCTTAGAAAAATAAAATACGTAGACCCTAAAATTAAGCAAACATTGATTATATACTATATTTGTTTCATTCTTATTAGTTATTAATATTATTATGTAACTTAATAATATTAAGTTGTATAATAATATTAATATTAATAACTAATAAGAATGTGAGGGAGAGAAGTGCATGGAAGAGGAGATATGGGTAAGGTACTCACAATTTTCACAATGTGGACGGCCGGTTCTACAACGTCTGGGATAAGGATGTTCAGCGCCACCAAGAACTGGTCTTTTGAGATCGCCACTACAACTCCCGAGATCGTTGTACACATCATAATCATAGATTCTATCGTATGGTACACGTTCACCAGTGCCATTGCCCCGCAGATTCACCAGCTCATTTGCCCTCATGGACTTGAGTCCAGCAGGCGTGAGCAATGGCAAGTATGACTGCATGCCAAAATTAAAGTTAGGATTTAATTGTATCATGTATGGTAAGGGCCAAGAGGAAACAAATTAAAAGAGAAGTACGACCTTGCTGGTGAAGAAGACTCTCTGTACTTTAGGAAGCACGGTGGGGGGTTGAACCCAGGAGTTGCAGGTGATGGTGGAGGGACCAGAAGCCAGCCCAGTGAGGTCCACTTCTTTGATGTACATCTCCTTTTCATTGGGGTTTTCAACAATCACGGCCCCTATCTCCCCAAAATCTGGTCCAACTTCGAAACTTGCCTCGTAAATTTCCTCCTTCGGGTCCTCACTCGACAATCTTGCCTCAACTTTTATCCTCGCTTTCTCCGACCCAGTTTCTTTTTTGAATTGAGAAACCATTTCATCAAAGAAAGTATGCGAGAAAACATACAAAAATACAAAAAGAAAAAAAAAAGACTTAGATAAAAACATTCAAATTGAGAGAAATGATAGAAAGATCATAATTAGAGGTGATTTTGGATGACCAAGACAAGAAAGAGTCTTTAAATCGTCTTAAAGATGGGTACAAGATCTTGAAGTCTCCGACCCAGTTTCTAAACAAACCTAATTCACATCGGTTTCCCTTCACTCTTACCAACACATGCCTATTTATTCCCTTTTATTACAATTAAACTCAAAATTCTCTTCACTGTTTCATTTTGGTCCCGTTTTCTTTATTTTCTTTCCAAAAAGCCCAATAATCCCATTAATTCTCAGTTTGGTTCTTATTTTATCATATTAATATATTAAAAGCTTCCAACTATATTCATCATAAAATTATTTGAACACATAAACGGGTTATTCACGTATTATATAACACATAAAATATAATCCAAACATGTCTCTGCATCAATAAAACTAACTAATTTCCTCGAGTGACATACTCACTTATTCAAATATATTAATATAAAACAAGATTTAGTTGAGATTGTGCTGCGCTTGTCTTGCCTCTTGATTAAATATTAATTTTCATTGCTTTTCTTTTACAAGATTTTCTGTATCTTTAGATCAATCAAAATTCTAGATATTAAAACTTTATATATGAGAAAAATTAATTTAAGAAAATCGTTTTAGATCGACGTACAGATGTAAAGATGTGCTAGCTCGTTTGTTTTTTTCCCTAATAAATTTTCTTTTGCCCGTCAATTGTAAAATTAGTTTGTTCTAACATTTAGATAGAATATTTAAACAGAAAAAAAAATGTAGAAACAGATTTAAATGCTCTAAGATTGGTCATTGGTATTAAGTTAAATTTAAACAAAGTAAATTACACAGAATATCCAACTACTTCATATATTCGAATATTTAATATAATTCAGCCAATTTAAAAATATATTGCTCTTTTAAGTTGTTTAGGGGAAAAAAATATAGGATTTAAATAAATTTAAATCATAGACAAACCCACTTATAATACTTTAAGATAGACACTATTTTATAACATATCAAACAAATTATATTAGTATGTTTCAACAGTCCAATATATCTATTTATACGGGAAATTACTTCAAACAGTCCATTAAACCTATAAAAATAAATTTAAAAACTATATTTTCAACCTTTGCCGTGGTTATTAATTAGGACTTTAACTGTTGTTAAGTTCAACCAACTCTAGGTTAAAAAGTAACGTATGTTAATCCCTCACCCGCATGCACTAAAAAAATAAAATAAATTAAATTGCATCTTTATTTTTCATTGCTCAATCATATATAAGATTTCCAAAAATAGAGGTACTTGACTTTAACCAGCTGCCTGATAACTATTTTGTAATATTTTAACTTTTTATTTTTATTGACATATTTATCTCTATCACATTTCTTTTTTACTCTAATTTTTTTCATAAATATCTCTTTAAAAAATTATTTTTCTCTTTCTAAAATTAATATTTTAAATATTTATTATTATTTTTCTATCTCCAAATTTTTCATCTCTAGATATTTTTATTTATTTTTGTTCTTCTAACAGATCATTCTCATTTCTCTCTCTACAAATTTAATATTTTCTCGAACTTTTCTCTCTCTAAAATTTCATCTTTTATAATTTTTCTTTCTGTTTCTAATCTATTTTTACTCTAAAAATTATATATTCTTTTATCGTTTAATTTTCTTTCACTATAATTTTTATTTCTTTTTGTATTTATTTATTTTCTCTCAAAAGTATATTTCGAATCTTATTTTTATCTCTAAATTTTGTACTCACTATAATTTTTTATTCCCTTTCTAATTTTTTTTCTTTACCTCTCAACTTTACTCGTCTCTTTTAACTTTACTTTCACTGTTTTTTTTTTCTAAATATTTTTCTTTAGCTCTCTAAATTTATATTTTTTATGTCTATACATTAGGGTGACAAAAATTCTCACAAAGGTCGGGTCCCCGCTTCAAGAATAGAAAATGCATGTCCCGACCCCGTCAACGATTCCATTTGTTAAATAATGAATATATATATTATGGACATATTTACTAAATTGTTAATACATGATTAAATATTTTTAAAACTAATTATCTATACTAGTAAATAATAATTCTAAAAAAAATTAATTTTTTACATTTTTTATTTTTAAAATTTTAAAATTTTAAAAATAATTAAAATTAAAGGAAATTGCATTGGGTAGCAAAATTTTTATAAATATTTACAAAAATGTCAACCTCTTTTTGTATTTTGCAAATATGGCAACATATTTGAATTTTTATTTTCGAAATTTTTATTATTCCAATTCAGATGCCTCTGATCTACTTCTATATCTAATCTACTTCTGATCTCCATCTGATGTACTTCCGATCTACATCTGATGTACTTCCAATCTACATCTAATTTACATCCGATGTACTACTAATATATATCAGATGTAAGTAATATACATCTAATATACACATTTAATGTACCTCTAATTTATAATATACTAAATATATTGGTAACTTATATTAAATATAAGGTAAATCAAATGTTTAATTTTTAGTAGTATATCAGCTTAGTTTATCACTACGATTTGTTGATTGATATACTATCTTATCAATATTTTTTATTGCTATATCACTACTATTTAATCTATATTAATATTAATTAGATACTAAATATAAGGAATATCAGTCGTTTAAATTTATAAAGTATATCAAATTTTCAACTATGGCTCACATAAATATTTTATGCAATAACTTTAGATTCCTTTTTTTCCACCAATATTTTCATCTTAAAAATAAATTAGTGAATATATTAGTAATGTATCAACACACATATAACATAGTTATATCAGTAGATATCATAATTATATAATCAGGGGTATATCAATGGTAAATTAGAGGTATAACAAGTATATATCACAGTTACATAAGTGTCATATCAGCATGGTAAATCAATGGTAAATCATGTAATAATATGAGAACTTATAATGGTATAAATCATAACTATATCATATATACATCAGTGGTAAATCATATTAGATGTTATATTAGTAGATATCATAGTTATATCAGAAGTAACTCAATTGTATATCAATATTGTATCAGTGTTATATCAGAGGTATATCAAGTATATATCACACATACATCAGTGATAAATCAATAAATAGTAATAATCATATAAGAAATATCAGTGGATATCATAGTTATATTAGTGATATATATATATATATATATAGTAAATTAGAGGTATATCAAGTATATATCAGTGCTACGAGGGTAAATTTGACATTTTATTATTTAGACCTCCATTTTTTCAAAAAGTTTGCTATATTTACAAAATTAAAATGTAGGTGCTAAATTTGTTATTTTTTTTATTTTGCTATATTTGCAATTGCCCCTAAAATTAATTATAAAACTAACAATTTTTTTGGCGAATATCCACACCCCAAATAAAGATTTCTTTAACCACGAGGTGGATAGAAAGGACTAAAAATTTACACGAGCACGAGAATGGAAAAGGACATTATAACCCCACCCCTACATAATCTCTCTACTCTACTTAGAACTTTCTCCCCTACTTAGAACTTTTTCCCTCGAATATATTCCCAATTTTCTAACTTTTTAAAAATAGAAAAGTAAAAATAGTTATGAAATATGTTTAGTTTTCTATTTTTTAAAAATAAAGGACAAAAGATAAATATAAATAGAAAAACCAAGAACAAAAAACAAAAATGGTTAAAAAATGACCGAGGTAATCTTAGACAATGATTTCTAAGAAAATTTTCTTACAAATACTATGTGAACGAAGATGAAACATGGACTTATGTTAGTGGGATAATCTTCACGCTCAAAAGTGGGCGTGTCGGTCTTATTGACCCATTTAAAATTTTAAAATATAGAAGAGAGAAATGTGAAAAGAAAAATAATTTGTTCTATATTTTTTGTAAAAGTAAATGCTGTCAAATTTTGTGTGAGCTGAAAGTTTTTTAAGTAAATAATGGAAAAGAGAAGCCTACTGAGGTCGAGCAGGTTGCTGGCGAACTCCAGTTTGAGAAACTTTTCAACGTCTGGTTTGACATCCCTTACAATTGTCGACGAAGTGATTTCTCCAGTGACTTTTTGGACAACCACTTTGGTTTGGACGGTGGTGGTGGGTTCGGCGGCAGTGGCTATGGCTGCCTTTATCTCACGGCAAACCAATCTCAGCCGTCCATTTCTACTGCTCTTACTACTCCTCTGCTTCTGGCAGCTGGGTTTCGAATAATGAGGCAAAAAAGCAGCGCCGGCGTTTGTGCTACAAAGCAATGGCCTCTGCAGATGGGAGAGGGACGCCGGAGCCGCCGCTCCAGTCGAACACCCAAAGCCTTGACCTTTCAACATTTCCCTTTTTTGAAATTATTGTTTCGATTGGTATTTTGGTCTGAGTTTTTGGTTCTCCCGTCGGAGGTATTTATATACAACTTGGACTTTGAAATTACGGTAAAGCCCCTACTATCTGCTACTTTTACGCTTCTACCTTCTCCTTAGTCCTTTCTCGTTTTTAATTTAACACGTTTTTTTTGGGGTTGGATAGCCCTCTTTCTAAAGAGTATATGTTTTCTGATCTTTGCTGAAATATCTTAGGTATCAAATGACTTTAACTATCCTTCCTCTATCTCTTTTATCTCTTATTTTTTCACTTTTTCTCTTTCCAATTCTTCATCTTCTTCTTTCTCTCCCTTCCCCCGTTATTATTTCTTTTTCCATTGATAATTTTTTACCAAATCTCTCTTCTCCCTTCGTCTCCTTCTCATATTTGGTAAGTTCAAAATTGCTTTTATTATTATTAGTTGAAAATTCCTGTAATTATTTCTTTTCCCTCAATTCTTTATTCTTTGTTATTCTTTGTTTTTCAATCATTATTTCTCTTCAATGGTATATATAGACTTTAAAACCAAACAAAATTAATACTTTTTTTCTTTACATTTGATTTTATACCTAAATCTAAACACTTCACTCTGTCAATTTTACCCTAAAACCCACACTGCATGAAAGGTCACCCCCACTAAAAACGAACTCCTCTAATTAATTCTGAGAGCGATATCTAGTTGGTAGTGAAGCTCTCGCTCCCATCTGATTGGGAGCAAGATCGAGATCTTTGGGAGCGAAATCGAGATCGAGATTTGATGGAGAACAATAGGGAGCGAGATCGAGACCGAGATTTGAGGGAGAACGAGAGGGAGCGAGATTGAGATCTGAGGGAGAACAAGCGGAAGCGAGAGCGAGATCTGACCTAAAGTAAAATCTTCAATGTTTTTCGGCCCAAGACCAACACCTGAGACCTTCACAATTGATGGACATAAGTATTTTGTTGAAAAGAAGAAAGAAGGAAAAAAAAACCTAACTTTAAGCGAATATGTTTTCAAAATTGCTTATTTGGTATGTGTCTTTATTTGGGGGAAGAAATTGATTAAAAAAATTTCAACTAACAAGAGGATGGAGAGAGAAAGAAGAGATCTGGTAAAATCAAATTGATTAAAAAAAAATTTAACAGATTAAGGGAATGAAGAGAGAAAGAAGAGATCTGATAAAATATCATGGAAAAAAATAAGAAATCGATGAAAAGGAGAAAGAAGAGATCATAAAAAGTCTGGGGAGGGAAGACACGAGGAAAAAAGATGGGGAGAGAAGAAGATGAAGAATGAAAAAAATAAATAATAATGGAGGAAAGAGAAAAGTGAAAAAAAAAATAAGAGAGAGAAATCTAAAATATGAGGAGAGAGGTAGTGAATGTCATTTATTATAGATGTGACTTCAAATATTAGAAAACATAAGTTTTGAAAAAATTGGGTAAAAAAAAAAGTAAGTTAAACGTCAATTACCACCGAGCTATTATCACTTTGACATTTAAATATCTAAAATATATACTTTAGTTATTTTGGCTCTCAAAACAAGATGTGGATAACATGTATGTTAGTATACTGATGTGGATGTGTGTCAAAGTCACGCTACAGTAACTGTTAGCTTACAAAATAATAATAGCCGGTACCAAAATGATTATTGTTTTTAAAATTCAATTACTAAGAATTGAACCTGAGTTTAGTTAACTATAAATGATACATGTATTTGACTTTTAAGACTTTTTAAGTTCGAATCTCTTTCCTCGCCTCTTGTGCTAAGAAAATACTAAGGCTTTATTTCCTTTTCTATTTCTTCCTCGATGTATTTCTCTCTAATAATTTTTTTCCCATTCAATCTTCTTTCACCTCTTTTTTATTTTTGCCCTTAACTTTTCTCTCATTGAATTTTTTAAAATTTTTATTTATCTTTCTAAACTTTTATTTCATGTCTCTATTAGAGATAGACAAAAATTCCCATAGAGAATGCATTTTTCACCCCATGTCTAGTCTCCGATTTTATATTTTAAATAATTTAATATATATTTATTAATTGTTTAATAATTTATAACAAAAATATTAGATATTTTTTAAACTAATTATTTATCCCAGTAAATAATAACTTTTGGGTAAAATAAATATATTATATGTTTTTATCACTTTTTATTTTTTAAATTCTAAAAACAATTAAGATTAATTATTAAATCAATAATTTCGAGATGAGGATTCACCTGGATCTCGATTCCCAAAATCAAAGAATGAGGTGGAGATGAGAATTAAAAATTTTCGCGACGACGAAGATGGAAAAGGGACATCACATCATTGTCATCCCTACTTTACCTAGATTTTCTCACTGTAACATATACTTTTAACTTTCTAACCTTTTTAAAAAAAAAAACCAAAATTGGATATCAAACATATGTTTGGTTTTCAAGTAATTTAAAAAAAAAAAACAAAGTTATCAAACAATATATGCCTTTTCTTTTTTGTTTTTTAAAAATAAAAAAATAAAAAAGCAAAAACATAACTGGTTATTAATTGGATCCTTAGGATGAAATCTAGGGATTAACGAGTTTGTTTGTTTTGAAGGCTAACTAGGAGACAAAAATAAAATTTAAACCAAAAAAAAAATCAAAACTTATCTACAAAATGAAAGGATTTTTTTTAGAGCCGTAAAATAAAAACTATTTACTAATTATTTAGAAACTTTTTTTAAAAAATATCGGATGTTTAATTCTGACCCCTTTTTGAACCCTTACTTTATCATTTATCTAATTTATCCAAATAAAAGTGTTCAAAAAAGTTTTTGTTGATTTTATAAATATCCAATAGAAATCCTGCATAAATGATACAAGGTGTTGGAAAATGGTTGATGAATATAAGCAGAAGGGTCTTTGTCCAAGTGGTTGAAGGTCGTCCCGTGCTATATACTCATTTCCATTTACACAATTACACAATAAATAGAAGAAATAAACCTCATATCATTTTTAATACGATGCATCTAACAACGCAATAAATTGGAGCGAAATTTTCTGCAATCTTCATACATGGATATTAAAAGTAGCAAGGTCAGACTTCAACCACTTCGACTAGCTAGGTTGGTTGTTTATTTATTTTTCTTCGAATGTTAATAAATTTCAGTAACTTTTTATTTCCAACCAATGCAAAATTAGGAGTTGTCTATAAATTAAAAATTTATATTGATTTTAATAATAATATTTAACATTTATATAAATAAAATAAAATTTATCATGTCAAATTAAATAGCATAAACCTAACGTGCTTCACAAGACTGAGTTCGTTGATTATGAGTAGTTTTCTACGACGAACTCTTAGTGTCCTGATGCCTCTAGCTTTTTACTAGGTAGAAATATTGTCCATGCTATCCACTACCCTACCCATAAGCATGTCTTGAATGTGTCGTTAAGAGATTCACGATGTAACCATAATGTAATGGTTGAACTAGTGTGTGTGGTACTATCCTTAACCAGTATCATGTTATTGGTGTGGATGGATTGCCATCATCCTAAGATGATCTTATTGGTGCATACCACGGTGGGGTCTTTGACACAGGTTCCTTCATTATTTTAGCAAAAGTTCTGGTCTTTAACATTATGATGGACCTCTTCGAGTTCGGAAATGTGACTCTCAGATTGGAATATCTTGTCATGTGCCTTCTATGCCTGAGATCATTAAGAACACTAATTTGTCTAATTAGGGTGACTATACATTATCTTTGATTGATTTATCTACACATCTATAATAAAGTGTTAATCCAACCATATTTTAACAACGTCTACATAGTTGTCGATTATACTCAACTCCATCTATACCATACATATCTATCATACAACCATTTGTAAATAAAACACGGTTTAAATTCCAAACCTTTATCGGTCCTTTTCTATTAAAAATTAAGTACATGCATAGATTGGTTGTTAAAAATAACATAATTAATAATTAATATGTACACTAAATTAACTAAATAAATAAAATAAATTTAATTAATTAATTAATTAAAACAATGGAATTTATAATGGGTAGCAAAATATTTAACCATATTTGTAAAAAGGTCTAACACCTCTCTATTGAAGTTTGCAACTATGACAAAATATTTGAATTTTTATTTTAAAATTTTTTATAATTTCAATTTTACCTTTCATTAACGTATGCATGTATATTAGAGGTATATCATAATTAGTTAATAATCATATCAAAAATATATATAGGGTATATATTAGTGGTATATCAACGGTATATTAGTATACAAGTAGTAGAGTTATATCTACATGGTAGATCAAATATATTGAGATGATATATTTGACATTTTATTATTTTTGTCTACGTTTTTTTTTCTATAATTACAGGTGCCCTTAAAACAAACTAAATCTAATTAGTTATTTAATTAATTAGTTACTAATTGGCCTATTGGCTTGAGGTTAAGAAAATTATAAAGAATTTAGAGAGAATTGATTCAAACCCTAGATGAAATCGTAGTTGTTTTTCGTTGGCCGATCAAATAAGACAATAAATAATTCGACAAAAGTGTGTTGGCGAGTCATCTGGATTTTTCTTCGAGGAATCTAACTAATTGTTACCTTAAATAACCCAACAAAAGTGGTCCCTCAATGGTCCAGGAAATGGAGTGTTAGAAGCCGAGGTTTCGTTATCCTGAAAAAAGTGGTCCCTCAAGGTCCAAACCATGGCCTTAAAGAAAGGATAACACCACGCCAACCACGCGTGTTAAGAAAAAACAGTGTGGCAGGAGTAACGTTCTAACTCATGTGTTATAGTTAAGAGTGTCTTTAAGAGTGATTTTAGATGGTAAAAATTACTTACCTATTCAATATAAATTAAAAAGTTGATTTACAAAAAAAAAAAATTAAAATGGTTTAAAATTGATTTTTGAGGTAGTAGTTGGGTGGTGGTTCTTGGTTATTGATTGGCCGAGAATCCAATTATTTGCTGATGATGGGATTTTGGTTTTAGGGTACTTACCGACGGCGAAATTTTGGGCTTTGGAGGATTTTGGTTGCAGACCGCGAAATTTTGTATCTGAGAATTGCTGTGGTGGGTGATGGTGGTGTTGTAATCATCAATCCATAAAATTGATGTGATCGTACTTTTTATCCATTTAATAAAAAAAATTATAAACAAATAAATCAATTGTAATGAAAACAATTATAATTTTTTTTATCATAATTGTTGAGTAAATAGTCAAATAGTTGTTTAATTAAATTGTTTCTCAAATTTAATTAATGTCATTTTTAAGAAGATGACATTTTAAAAATCAATTTTGAAACCAAACCGTAAAAATTTAAAATTACTTTTAACTATATAAAAATCACTTCCAACCAAATATGAAATAAAATGTGAATGAATCTATTTTTCTATAATCACTTATTGTACCATCATTTCCAAACACATCTTAAAACGGATGCTTTTGAACTAAAAATTGAAATTTTAAAAAATAAACCTTAGTTTCTTGCTTGACTTTTCTAAATTTTTACTTATAAAGGTAATTTGTGAAAAAAAAATCATTACATCCATAAGAATAATGTCATCCTTAAGAAAATTATAAAATCACATATAAAGAAAACAGTTAAAATCCATGCTTTAAATAAAAAAAAAAAATCAATATTCTATTTTTTTTTTTTTAAATTAAAATGTCGACGGTACAGTACCACGTCCTGCATTGCTTGCCCTCACGTTGAGCTTCTTAAATTGGCTGATTTGAAGTTATTTTTCATTCTGGAATAGTGAATACAATTTTCAATGCACAAAAACACTGATTCTTGGCCGAGGAGGGACTTCAGCTCAACTTTGAGACGTTTTATTTATATACTAATTAATAGCTTAAAAGAACATACAATTTTAGATTGATGCAATGGAGCTTGGGACTAGGCTCCCCTAGTCTGCCTTTGTTCAAGCTTTAGCGCACGTGTTGTTTTTATTAAAAAATTTTCTGCCTATTGTATTTATATATATTATTAAATTATAAAAATGAATACCATATTATAAAATATGCTATATAAAAAATCTATATAATATATTAAAAAAATCTTTATATAAATCTATCAAATTTTAGAAACCAAAAAAAAAAAGAAAAAATGAAATCTTCAACCTCTAACTTTCTAAAAATAAGAGATTTTTTCAAGACTCTCGAATGGTGACCGTACTCCTTTGAACTCAAAAAGTTTTTTTTCAATTTATACTTAATACATATTTTATTTCTTTAGTTTTATTAGTCAAGCTAAGTTTAATTGTTGTACTTATTTTTATCAAATTTTTGAATTTTTCTTTTACATCATTTTTATTTTTAATTTTGCCGAATCCAAAGAAGTTGATAATTTTATATTAATTGTCTAAGTTACATTTTTTTCAACTTTAGATACGAATTTGAGGTTATTTTACTTATAATTGTAATATTCAATACCAAGTTCGTAAAACATATTTAAAAAATGATTGTCTCAACTTCAAAATCATACTTTTATGAATTCGTGAAATTATTTACTTGTAAATTAATGGGATGTCTTGTCCTCAACAAAATTTTTGGATCCAACTGTAATCTCATTTTTGTGTTAATTTTTATACATTATAAAAAATTACACTCATTAAGATAGCAATAATTATTTTTCTTGAGAGTTGAAGTAGTTGTAGGTTCATAGTACAGACTACCGAGTACTAGAAAAAAGTGCTTTCGTTTTAATTAATTGCCTTATCTTATATGAACCGAATAGCAACATCAACACCAAGTTTGTTCAATAAAATAATAAAAAACACAAAAGTATTTAACAGATATCAACATTTTTTCCTTCTCTTTCTTTTGTTTTTAATGGTGGTAGTGGGACACGATAAGTTCGTAGTTTTTTTTTTTTTTTGAGTGATACAAGGAAAAAAAAGCAGAGAAAAAAAAACCAAGGAAAAAACATTAAGAAAACGAAAAGGTGAGCTGCACCATTATCAAATCGGCCTTAAATGTTGAACAGGTTCTTCAATCGACAGCAAATAGACCAAGATCAATTAATTCACATCAAACTTTAGTTTAAAGTAAAATTGTGATTTCTCTTATTTAAAAAGAAAATAAAAAAATAGAGTGCTCACAAATCTAAAAGCATATGAGAAGACCATGATGCTTGAATGGATTTATACCATAAATTTAATGCTCGTGTAAAATGCCTACTTTGTCTCCAATGACTAACAAAAATGTCAATGTTGTATTAAAAAAATTAAAATAAAATAAGGTAAAAGGTTAGTGAGTTTGAAGATATATTTCTATTTAGTCATTAAGTTTCAAAAAGTGATAATTTGGTCCCAATCTTTAAAGAGTAGTTCTAAATGGTCCCCGAACAAAGTTGATCCTTATTGACTAACGAAAAAGTTACACGATATTGTTAGGTTAGTAATTTTTAAATGATGTGTCTTTATCGAGTAAAATACACTTTTAGTCCCTAAATTTGATGGTAGGTAATTATTTAGTCTCTATGTTTTAAATAGTGGCAGTTTAGTTCCGACCTTTAGAAAATGATTTTAAATGGTGTATTTGACTGTTAATTGACTAATGGAAAAATGTGACATGACATAATTGAGGTAACAAATTTTAAATGACGTTCGACAATATTAAATAATTTTATATTATTTCTATCTTATATGTATTTTTTCTCTCGTCCCTTCTCGTCCATATCCCCAGAAACTTCCTTCAATGTCCTATGTGTATATTGAACTTTAAGACTCATGTACCTAATCAAACATAAATTAAATTAGTAATTAAAAAATCCAATAAACAAAAAAGGTTGGAAAACATACTGATTCATTACGATGGCTTCCTGATGCTGCTAATCAGGATAAAGCGTCCAAAATTAAGAAGAAAATTCGTGACATCCAAACATAAGAAACAAGGACGGAAACTTGGAATCGGTCTAGGGCTTATTCAGTTTCTGAATTCCCCTACAGGTATCTTAGATTATCTCGAATCCAAGAAACCCAGGAGGGAATTACAGAAACGCAAATCGAAATGAGACAAATCGAGGAAGGAAATTCGAAAGCTCACCCGCTGTCACCGAGGAGTTGGGGAAAATTTTCAGAAAAGTTTTAGGAATTTTAGTTGACGGAAAGAAAAAAAAAATTAATTCACCTATTAGAAAATTATTTAGGGATTTTGGGAGGGAGAAAAAATAATATAAAAATGTTAACTCAGTTATGCCGTCTAATTTTTTTGTTAGTCAAATAATTTAGGATCATTTAGAACTATTTTCTAAGTGTCGTTTTTTTTAATTTAAGGATCAAATAGATACTTATCCTCAAATTCAGAGACTAAAAATTTATTTTATCTTTATTTATTTTATATATATTTTAAAGGTAGGTGGCATTTTTTTTTTCTTTTTCTCTCTTTTCCCTCCTCCCGTATCTTTTCTCCAAATCCAACGCTCGTCTCCACAAATCTTCATCCAAAATTTTCAATTGGCACTAATATTCGTTTGGAACTGTCATCTGTTTGACTATTCATCGACCAAAATCTTGGCACTCTCAAGAGTCAAGGGCCAAGGGCCTCTTTTATTTATTTTTAAATGAAATTGAGTTAATTAAATTCAAAAGCCTGACGATTTCATGTGTGGTGGCAGTCTGTTTTCTTTCTCAAACTAATTAACTATAGACACATCAAAGTGAGAGAATCTTCACTCGTACATGTTACAGACTCGCAAGAGCATCCATAAATTTATGAGATATACCTTAGGCTTTTATAGCCCTCTTCTTGCATTTTACTGTAATTTTATTTTACTCAAAGGGGTGAAAAAAATGAAGCGATCCGAACCGAATTGGTTCCGATCAGTCAGCAAATACAAACCGAATCGAATTGATCATATCCGGTTCGATTCGGGTCAAGTTTGGGTTATAACGGAAAATAGCCTTCTTCTCCTACGCCAAATTGCCCTCCCCGCGGGCCGCAACCGCTCTCTCAGTCTTCATCTTCAGCCGCACTCTCTCAAATCGACGCCGGACTCTCGGACGGCCGGCAAAGCAATGGCCCTCCCCACTCGGCTTTTTACTTCTTCCTTCCGCCGGAGGTAGGGGCCACTGAACTTACACTCCCACCCCCAACTGATTCAGTGGAGCTTTGCTATCAGTAATTAGCCGTTCGTTTTTGTCTTTGCTTTCGCTTTTGCAATGCCCTTTCTGTTGCTATATTTGGATGAATCGCTAGGTCGCTTTGGTTTCCTCTGCACGTTTTTCTTGATTCGTTCTGAAACCGCTCAATTAGTTTTAGTCGCGTATGCGGATTTTAAGGTTTTTTTTTTTTGGTTGTGGTTGTGTTCTTGGAGTTTCTTGAAGGATTTTGTTGGGTTTGGTGATGGATATCGCTTTGCGTTTGAATAAGTTTTTGAAACAGAGTAGTGAGTAGTAAGTTTTTGGTGTTCGGATGTTTTCTGCGAGTTTTTGTAATTTGGGGGCTTTTTCTGCTTTTTTGGATGGCTTTGAAGGTTCTGCAATTCAGTTGGCATGGTGGGGATTTGATGCAATTTCTATGCGATTTTAGAGATAAATCTACTAATAACGTAAGGACTGGATTTTTATTCAAAAACAGTGTTGTGTTGAGGTGTGTAATTCAAAAACTATGCAAACTTGTGGAAGTAGACGACGGAATTGGTTGAAGAGGAATGGATTCTTGTTCAATAAATTCAATTTAGTTGGAAACTCCAAATGGCCGCAGTGGGGATGCGGACGGTGATGTTAAGAGTGAAGAAAAGGATGTAGTTTTAGAAGATGATATCCAGAACGAAGAGAAAGAAAATGATTCTGAAGGTGAAGATGCTGAATTTGATGTTACCAGATTAAGAAAATTTGATATTAGTATTAACATAGATTTTCCATAATTTTATGCTATGTAGTTGCAAAACTTGAGTTCAAATTTGGATTGGAGATGAGAAGCTATATCTGTTCTCCATCTTTCTTGAGCGTCTACTTTCAAATATGGTTTATTTATACTTCATCTATATGAATTTTATATTATGCTACATATTAAATAATAATTATGCCAAAGCGAGTATAGCTCAGCGGTAATTGACATATATCTCCAACCTCTAACGTTCTTTTTACTTAAAAGATGTTTAAAATCTTGGATGTGTTTTAACTTTTGGGTATTATTTTTTAAACTTTAAAAGTATATATTAGGTTTGATACTTAAACTTGTTTGGAACAAGTTTAAGGCCTCAGCTTCTCAAGTTTTGGTTTTTTCTTTTTCCTCAGATCAAAGCGGAATAGAAGTGGTATGAATTGCCTTAGGGCTTGAAATTATGATAAACTTTTATTTTAGAGTTCTTTTTTGTGATTTTATTACTTTTCAATTTTACCCTTTCTTGAACGAATAGAGATATTTTAGTCCTTTTGTTATTATTTATTTTGTGGCATTTATGGTTTAGTTGGGAGGCTATCTAAAGCGTGACATTTAGGTTGTTTATAAAGGAGATTAGTTTTAGAATGAATTTTACTGCAACTAGTGTGATGGCTAATTAAGAGTTATTTGTTTGTAATTCTTGATCTAAGTTGCAAGCTGGAACATTCGAGTTAGGTTTGATCACTTGGAGTGTTCAACCTTGTACAAGGAATTAGTTCTCCTTATCTCTTGTTCTTCGATCAATAATTCATCATTTAATCTTTCTCTTGAGATTGTTCTATTTGATTTTAAAGTTTTAGGTATTGACAGGTTGGGGTCTCTTTTGATGGAAGAGTTTTTATCTGTAATTTCTTAGGGTTTCACATCGAGGAGAGGCAGTGGCTGATTGAAATACTTAAAAAAAAAAAATGATTGTGAACCGAATTGGTTTGTTTCGGTTTTCATACTTGTTTAACCAAATCGATTTCGGTTTTTTCTTCTCTCCCTGAAAATCAAACCGAACCGAAATTATTTTCACCCCAAATTTTTGTTAATTTAACTGTCAATTATTGATCTCCTCTAATCTGATGTGTATAAATACTGGGAGATGATTTATTTATCTATCTTCTAATTTGGGCCTAGGAGAGAGCCGTCAATGTGCTCTTCTCTTTCCTAACTCGTTCATTGGTTCTAATTTGGAACAAAAACTTCTATCTTTCCCAGTTTCCACTCATAAGGTGATAATTCATATACATAATTATATATTTCATGCAACATGCACTCAAAAAGTATTAAGTGTGGAACAATTAATGTGTCACAGCTTCTAAATAGAAATACTATAAGGAACTCCTTTTCCCGTCACTCCAGGCTCTGAATATGGCTTCAGAAGTTGATAAGGCTCAACTCCAGCTCCATGTCTATTTTTCAATTTAGGATTGGCATTCCTTTCATCAATGATCTCTTCCAATTTTTTCAATTTTCCACTAAACTTCTCAAATGCTCGCTTTATATGAGGTTCGTCAGCCCATGCTGGTTCTATATCCTTTCCCAAATATTTCTCATCTGAAGAATGACTCGACAATATATTCATAACGGATGAAACTATTGTTGCTTGAGTCTGTGTAGGAAACGTGTCTAAGAACACATTTTCTGGCTTTTCAAGGAAGTACTTCCAAAGTTTCATTGGTTCTTCCGTGGGCATGTTGACTCTTGCAATACTAGGCCGATTTGGAAAATATTTTGCAAAAGAATATTGTCCAAAGTTCACCACTGCATGGTGGCCAGAAGTTACCCACATGATGGTCGTAACAACGTCAATAAGGTCTTCAGGAGTATTGAGGACTTGCCACCATGGTTCATCCTTTTTATCTCCATGGCCTACCGTCCGAATTTCTGTCCACCATGCTTGAAGCTCATCATCTGATTTAACAACACTTGGATCAGGATAGTAATGATTGACATATTCTGTTGCCCATTCTTTGATGGCATCCCAAAGGATTAGGCCGTCGTTGGCATAAGGGTAGTCTTCAATAGTCAGCTTCAAACCATGAGGTGCATTTGGATCTTCAACAGCCAATCCCCTTGCAAAAACAACCAGATATAATAGTCAAAAACAAAGATTAATTAACATCCTTGCATCCCAACAAGTCTAGTGATTTCACTAAAATCGCAATTTCCTCCAATGTGTTATAGTGATGTCAACTACATTGGAACTGATTAGAAGAAGTTGGCCAGAATAATTACCTGTGAATTAAATCGGCAGGCAAAGCTTCTAAGTTGAACTGCCACTGCTTCGCATAAGCCACAGAACTAAATTCCATAGAATACTTTCCAGGTGAGAATGTGGTTTCAATAATCCCTCCTTCGTTAATAAGAGTCTGACGAGCAATTGCATTCGTCTCCATGGTATACCGGAAATGGGGATGCAACAGTCTATAAATTGGATGCATTGCACTTAATTGTCTGTGTGCAGCGATAATATAAGGTTCTACGGAACAGTGAGTTCTAAGCCTATAAAAGAAGATAAAACACAAAAATATTTTAAGAAAAAGCTAAAGCTAAGTTTCCATCAACTACCAAAGTACTAAATATGACCATGAAAAGAAAGACGTACCAATGGCTGACAAGTTGGTGATGACCAGTGTCATGGGCAAGAACATGAGCTTTGGCAATCCTCCAAAGCCAGAGGCCTGTGGCATCCCAACATGGTGTGAAAACGTCTTTCCATTGTGGTTGACCGTCGATTGGTGGTGCACTAAGCTCAATAGCTAGTGGCCTTAGAGTGTTATCTGGGTTTAAAAAAAATAGCGTCCTCGAACCATATAATGTCTTGCCTTTTAACTTTCGTACCTTTGCCACATATGGGAGAAAGAGATCATGATAATCTAGTATGTATAGTTTGTTTTGCTCCACTGTCTGCGTCGCACCCACAATATTAATTCAACATTTTACACCAAATAGCCAATATATGATTGTTAATTCAAGACTGAAAGTGATGGTCAGGCACCTCATTCACAGTCATGATCCCTTTAATTTGCTGCTCAACTATTTCATCACTGATTGCCGATTCAGGAGAACCATAAATAGCAGGTTCAAGCTTACTCTTCAATGGCCATTCCTATATCATTTCATTAATAACTCCCTATTTTAAACGAGTTTAAAGGTTGAACTTTTAAAGTCCTCAATATCTCAAGTAAATGGGTCACGTTAGATTACCTTGACGAGCCTTATACTATATGGATTGAGTCCTGCAAGGGGCTGCCTGGCAAATTCCTCATCTCTGAACCAAAAGAATTTGTCCTCTGAAAAATAAAATAAAGAACAGTTATACAAATAATTAAACGAAAGTAATTAAGCATTGTCTTATTAGCATGTGTGGTAGCTTATGGCTCTTACTGCCAAAATTTTCAGAAGAAGCGAGGGGTAGGATGTCCACACCCTTATCAACGACAAAGTCGATTAGTTTAGGAAGAAGAGTATTGAGATTCCAAGTGCCTTTATTGGGGACATCGTCAGTTGTAGACAAATGTGGAACATGCAGCTTTGTGTCTGGTACTATCGTCTCCAAAGCTGGTTTGAGGCCGTTTATCATTGAATAGAATGTCTTTGCTAACAATGTTACTTGTTTTATCCGTAAGAATGCCTCGTCTCTAGGTAGATAAACGTCCAAACTCCTTACTTCTGATAATGGATCTGCATTTTATCAATTACCAAACATTTTTTCCTATGTTAATATCATATATCTTTTAAATTGATAAAAGTATGAAAGAAAAAAGACACCTGATCGATAACGTGCACGTCCAGTTCTACAGCGTCGAGGATAAGGATATTGTTTACCGCCAAGCACAGGTCTTTTGAACTCGTCGCCCTTGTCAGAATTACCAAGATCATTGTAGACATCGTAGTCATATATCCTATGATGGGCCTCACGCTTTCCATATCCCCTTGTAAATTCCTAAGCTCTTCTGCTCTAAATCTCTTTAGGCCCCCCGGTGTCTTTGATGGCAAATATGACTGACATGATTAACAATAATAGTCAAGAAGATATATTCTTTTGTAATGCTTCAACCTGAATTTGCGATTATTCTCTCCAAAAACTTGTAAAATATCCATAATATGAATTAAATTTATTAGTTTACCAATTCATCAATTTAAGCTTTTAAATTGAGTGGTGGTTTATTCACCTTAACATAGTATGAGAGCATTCGAACTCTTGGATTGTCGTTTCTCTCCATTTATTATGATTTCTACTTGTTAGGTCTTTGTGCAATGTTAAAAGTGAAGAAGTGTTAGATATCTATTATATGAATTAAATTTATCAATTTACCAACCCATCAGCTTAAGCTTTAGGGTCGAGCGTTTGAGTGGCGGTTCATCCTTAACAAAACTACCTTAGTTGTGAAGAAAATTCTCCTATCATCGCTCTGAGACTTGGAGTTGAGCCAAGAATTACATGAGAAGCGAAGAGGGCCAGTGGGAAGGCCTTGGATGACAATGTCCTCGAGGAACAGCTCTTCGTTATGCTGATTCTCAACCAAAACCGCTCCAATTGCACCAAACTATGCTGGAACTTCAAACTTGGACTCGTACATAATCACCTCATCATCCTCCTTGTTAACTTTCTGTCCATACCCTTTTATTGTTCCCTTCTCCAATACCGTCGCTGTTACAAGTTTTAAAAAATAAATACTATAATATAGAAAATAAGGCGATGAGAATAGAGGTGACGCACTTGGATCGATTTCAGCACTGAGAATCTCCAAAACAAGTGTTTTGGTTCCCCACAAATGAGTAATATCAGGAAGCCTTCGTTTCAACCCAAAGTTTATTGGGAACAACTCGCCGTTGCCGACGGGTCGTTTCACAGTAACGACAGCTTTAGCAGAAACAGGCTTATTCCCCGTCGCGACGGCGGAGGCTTTAATGACAGAATACTCGGGAGAAGCGAAGCGGAGGCCAAAAGCTGGACCAGGGGCGGCGTTTGGTTTCACCCTTTGTTCAATACGAAACAAAGCTTCCTCGTAATTACCCACAAGCGCAACAAATGGCTTTCCAGAAACTAAAAGAGCTTTGTTGCTGGAACTGGAAGAAGGTGAAAGATAAGATGGAGATCTCAACATTTTTGTTTTGGGCTACAATTCCAAAACAACAACTCAACTCAATTTGT